GCGCGCGACTGCACTGGAGGAAGATTTAAATCCGGCAGATATCCCCATTCCCGGTCTCCGAAAATGACGTGGATGAAATTGAGGTCCCTGGATTTACTACCGAACTCTCAATAGCCATTCAAGCACGGTCATTACGCCCTCGAAGCCTCCTTATTTCCGGATCTGATTACGCCTCCACATCGTGCCGATCTAACTCAAACTCAAGGGGGCTGCGAGGCAGTATAAGTCATTCTCGCTCCAAGTCATTGCCATCCTCGCCATCCCAGCGGCTGCAGTCAGATGGGTATTTTCACTTTGGCCTCAACTCGGGCGTCGGTTCTGTTAAAGATGAACAGAATCACCTGGAGACGATGATTGAAGATGACGAGCTCACCGCCAAACTTTCGGGAACTAAATCTAGTCCACCTGAAATCCCTCCTCGTAGTAAACAGCGCCAAGACGCCGCAGATATTGAATGCGATGCTGAAAGCAGTGGCCATTCTGAAATCTTGACCTCTGCATCCACCGATCAGTTGCATCGTCCAAAATCGCCAAGTGGAATGCTCAATGCGAAGCTTCAATCGCAAAGGAGCCAAGAACAGCCTGCTCGCCAAGGTCTCGAACGTGAAAATAGCCATTCTCCTGGATTTTCCAAACACGCACATGATGATACGAATAGTGGAAATCTTCACACCAAACAAGGGATTCAATATCAAAATAAAGACCATATCGTCAAAATCGGACGGAAACACCACGCCCCGGTACCCATGGTTTCCGAGGATGATGACTCCAGTCCTTCGGACCAATCCAATATCGGACAAGGTCATGCTCACTACGTTTCTTCTCAAGATTCAATCGTGGAAACATCCTTTGTTGCCGAAACAAACAGAGCTTCATTCCTGCCCTCTCGACTCAGTCCACATCAGGAGGTTGTCGACAGCTCAAGCAGCAGCCCTAATCAAGATTCTCCACATTCGTTTTCGGGCCACCAGTCGATTAACACAAGCCAAAATGGACAAACTCTTTCCCGAAGTAATTCGCGGAGACATACCAAAACTTCTAACGGCGGGAATATAACCCCTCGCTACACACCGAATTCCGCTGTTTCGGTGGGGTCTGAGCGGGCCGCAGTCCAGCGCGTTTCTCCTCCTCCCCCCGCAACTCCTCGTGATTCAAGTTCCAAACCTCGCCGCTCTCTGAGCATCGGCAGCCATCGGGATAAGCGGCCGATAACTTCAGGATCCGCTACCTCACAGGTTTCCAGTAAACTGTTAAAGGGCCTGGTAGGACGGCAGCCCAATGACCACGATTCAAGGATTCCTTTTCCAATACGCACTTCTACAGACACAAACTCAACTCTGTCTAAATTTGCGGAAACCGTTGCGGACCCTTCTAACTTGGACCAACTGATTCAAAGCGACGAGACTATACATTTCACTCTTACCCCGCGAAACATGAGAGAGATGGAGGTAAGTTTCAACTACCGCCTGTATCCCGACTCTGAATATTGACGTATTTAATAGGATTCAAATTCTCCGAGATGGGAAACCATGCGAAGTGATGCAACCGACACGGACGAATTTGTGAAAAAGACTAGTGCCACTGGAGAGACACAATCGGACGGTAGAAGACCAAGCGTTTCTTCCTCCAAACTGAATGGGCTGCGCATACACTCTCCGTCTATTGCTTCACCTAACAAGTCCACGTTTGTAGAGTCTTCTGTTGTAAAATCGAACCGGCCACAGTCATCTATTCACAAATCCGCTACACCGCAAGCACGGGATCCGAGAGTAGAAAGAGAATCCCTGAGGGACCTTTCGGAATTTATTAGATCAACTGGGCCTGATCAAACCCCAGCAGCTCCAATAAATCATTCAAAGCGTACTACCAGTTTAATTAACAGCAACAGTGGACAGACCAACCGGAAGCTGAGTTTGAGTGGTAGCGGGACTTCATCAATGACATCGTCTCGCGCCTCACACACTCTTACCAAAGAAATGCCAAAAAGGACAGCTCCGCGCTTAGAAGCCAGGCCAGCGGTGACACCAAAGGACAATGGCACGTCAGACCTGATCGATTTTATAAGAGAAGGGCCACAAGACGGCTTGCATCGAATTCCCAGGACGGTCGCTCCTTTTCGTACAACAATGGATTCGGATGAATTCCTGCTGAACCCCGGCCGTGCTCATCGTGATCCCGGAAAACAAAGCTACGCTCCAAGCTCGCATACAGACTCGGCCACGACGAAATCCGGCCCTTCTTCCTTCAACTCGCGCACCGGCTTGCTCGATTCCACAAACCGTGCCAACATTCGAACACAGCCCAGCTCACCAGCTCCAGGCGGCGCCCTTGATACAGGAGAACGTGCTATGCCACCCAGAAAGCAGCGACGAGTGAAAGACCCCTATGCCATCGATTTCGATAGTGATGATGATGATTTTGAAACCGAACTCCTGTCTGGAGGCCTGAAAGCCCATAAAGAGGAGGAAGAAAGCTTAGCTGACTTCCTGCGCAACGCTCCTCCACCCCCTGATCTTGACCAATCGCCCCAGCTTCTATCCGTCAATATGAATGCGACAAATAAGCCGAAAATGAAGAGTTCGACATCCATGGAACCACGGGCTAATGCGCGCTACGTCTGTGGACAAAAATCCCATCGACTAAACTATCGGGATCATCTCTCCGTTCCTATAAAATCAAACGCCACTACCGTCTCGTCCTCAGTAGGCCCTGCGGTCACAATTCCGGAGACAACTCAGCTCAAAGTCTCTCGCTCGAATTCTCATATCAAAGAGGGTTTATTCGCCACAGTCGTCTTTATAGAGCTCGTGCCAATACTCAATCAAACGGCGGAATGAATGGAGTTCAACGCTCGCAGAGAAGTCCTCCCAGAGGCTATCAAACTTCGACTGCGGAGTTGGCAGACTTCTTAAAGAATACCGGACCGCCCGAGCCAGTAGCTCGGCCGGCTTCCCGGTCATCATTCAGCGAGGAAAGGGAGAAGGGGAACGGCGGCTCCTTTACTAGGATGTTTTCGCGGATGAAGAAACAGACGGTGTAAACCCTTTCTTTCTCTTCTATGATCTATCTTTCCTTGTTTCTTTATTTTAAGAGTTGATATTGGACCCATTTCAATGCCATTCATGTATAGCTATTATGTCGGTCAGTTTCTTCCTATTTCTTTTGTAAATTTGGATATTCACACCGTTTGTCTTTTTCTCCGAAATCGTGATTTTGAGCACATCAAAACGCCCTACCTTTCGGCGAAGAGGACGATCTATTCTGAATAATGTCTTCCTGTACCTTGTGTTGCTCTTCTACTCTACGACTTTTATTTGGTCACTTGCCTTGATCATTTGTTCCGTTGTTCGCTACCTGCCTTCGTCTCGGGACATTTTGGTGTATTTCAATTCTAACGCCTCCATTCTCTACATTGCAACCAGCCCAGCGGCAAATTTGTACTTACACTACCTATTACCAACCTTTCTTTTGGAGCTACCTTCTCAACTTGCCCATTTGTACGCTATTAAATCTTATTTTTTTGCCATCTCTCCTATTCATCTTATTTATCCCTTTGGAATTCACTTCCCCGGCGGTTTAAATGTGCGTTGGATGTTTCCCCCACTTTTATCTCTATGTCGCTTTGCCATAATCTACACTTTGTGATGCTGATGCCTCCGTCTTCCTCCTCTACTCGTTCATGCTGCCTTCGTACTTCCAAAGAGTTTCCTTTCCCTTGGGAGGAAATCCCGATTCACGTCCCAATTTATTATCCTTTATTACAGTCGTTCTACTTCTTGATAGTATCCTTCGCTCTCTCTTTTGTCCGTCGTGAAAATCCACGACCGTGTTCCATTTCATGGTACATACTTAGCTAATGAGCTGCCTAATTTCATGCAGATTAATCTTATTATTTATTATTTATCAAGCCGTTTGTCCTTATTTTTAATTTCCCTCACCTAACATATTTTTCCTTGATTGTATAAACGGAAAAATACTACTAGTAGTATATATAATGATTAACTGCTCTCATATGTGAACCGTGCCAGACAGCTAGCGCTCTTTTTCTCATTTTGTTCAATATTTATACTAGTATAGATGCAAGCAAATAAAAATTATTTGCCTATATATATATATATCTCCAATGAAGCTAAATTCCTGTTTTGCTCTCTTGTTTATTGGATTGGACCCTTGCATTATTCCCCCGCAGAAACATTGATCCGAGGCCGACTCCTAACTCAATCGTGGCATTCTGCAAGGACTTCCTCCCTTCCCTGTAAACAGAATAACTATATAACACTGTTCCATCGCCGCCCCCTTTCCCAATTGGACGCCTCCCCTTCTACGTGATCACACGCACTTCCTTTAAGATAGGAAGAAGAGACGGAGGAAAAACAGGATGGGCAGCTCATGTCCATCACCCTTAACTGGGCTGCTGCGACCTCTCACACTCGTTCTTCTACTCTGCATAGCGCAACTTTCCACAGCCCTGAAATTCGATCTCCCTGCGAATGTGAATAACGAGAGATGTATACGGAACTTCGTGAGTAAGGATCAGTTGGTTGTTGTGACAGCGATTGTGGGTGGACAGAAGGGTGATGGACAGGTTGTAAATATGCATGTATGTTTTCCCCATGCCTTTCCTTGTCTTCTTGGTGTTGTTTTCAGGGTTTTTGTTTTCTTTGAAGAGGGTGGTATATATAAGCTACATCTGTCTGGTTTTTGATCACTGGTCTGCTATGTTTCCTTATGTCGCTAGTGAGAAGCTTCTTTTCGCCGAACCTGGAAATTTTCTATTATTCTAGTGCTTTGGGACTGAATAATTTCGCAGAGGAGCATTGCTTCTATTCAATTGTGGGTTCGGTGCTTTGCTAACAATTTGGCTTTTATTGGGAAATATAGATCAAAGACTCGATGGGAAATGATTACGGCAGACCCAAAGACGTCGTTGGCGAGAAAAGGCAAGCCTTTACCTCCGGGGCGGATACTGCATTTGACGTGTGCTTTGAGAACATTCCTGTTGGCCGATGTAAGTAAATCACTTGGGCCCCCCCTGGTTCCCCAGCTTATTCTCTGTATATATTCCGCGATTTAGGTAAACTAACGTTGCATATTCAAACCTTATAGCTTCTGGCCACCTTTCCCGCTCCGTCGAACTTGACATTGACATTGGAGCCGACGCACGCGATTGGTCTGCCATCCAGGTACAAGAGAAGCTGCGACCGGTCGAAGCTGATCTGCGCCGTATCGAAGCGATGGTCGGTGAGATTGTGACGGAGATGGAATACATGCGGACTCGCGAGCAGAAATTGAGAGATACGAACGAGAGCACGAATGAGCGGGTTAAATGGTTTGCCTTTGGGACTATAGGGATGCTGATAGGGTTAGGCGTATGGCAGATTATTTATCTGAGAGCCTATTTCAGGTGAGTTACTTTTACTTTATGATTTCCAATCCTTACCTTCTTGAACGGCATGAGAGCCCTTTGTCTTAGCTCACCTCCATGCAAAAAATGCAATCTATTTTTCTTGTCTTAATATTAGGAGCTTTGTGTATTAACGTGTTTTGTTTTAATAATTACTAGGTCGAAACATCTTATCTAAATACGTGACGATTTCTTTCTATCTTCGCACACGGTATTCCTCTCTAAATACTTCTTACACTGGGATTCTCAATGATAATTGCAATGAAGGATGATGGAGAACATTATACATTATTTTTCCTTTCTTTCTTTCTTCCCTTCCCGTTCCATTTTGGGTTGAGATTTCCAGATTTATACTAGTATGTTGTTAGTACAAAATACCATGCCTTGTTAAGGACTTGCATTGTTGATATCTACTATCTAGAAGTGAAGTGGGAATCAGTGGCAGGTGCCCAATAGTGCTGAGGATGATGGTAATAGATAGTTGCCTAGTTCGAGAAGAATACCCCCAGCGGCAAAGAGCATATGAAAAGGAACTTGATTCACTTAGTTTATTACAACGGTAAATACATGTACGAATGTAGATAGTCCCGTTTCCGGATGCAAACACGGCAAACAGGGGCGTCGGGATGATGTCAATCTTGGAAGCTTGTTGTTCTGCCTCGAAAGAAATTCTTCGAATTATCAATCAATTTATTCATTCTTAACAGCGCCCTTAAATTGCTAAATAATGCGAAGTCTAGGTACTCCCCAATGCTTTATGCGCGCTCTTAATTCATCCAACAATGTTAGGCCTGTATTTTCATTCATCCAAGGCCAAGCCAAAGCCGCAACGAATCGATCACTGAGCTGGACAAAATTCCGAGCCAGCAACCTGAACGAACGCGGCCACTCGACCGCTCCCTCACACGGCAAAGCTCAGAAATCCAAGCCTTTGAACCCGCGTCTGGCAAATACCACGTCGACCAGCACCAATGATTTCCCCAAAGCCGCCGCGAAAGTAGAGTCCCCGGAGCTGGTTACAGCAGCGAATCAAGAATATCAACGGCGCGATGCGGTTCCGGGAAATATGGAGAATATGACAGGCGGGGCTGTGAAAACTAGAGATGGGAGAAAACCTGAGCTGGGCGTTGGAGAGATGGATGGGATCACGTTTAGGGTTGAGCCGCTGAAGAGAGATGGAGAGGATATCATGACAATGAGAGCTAGGTTGCTGTGTATGTCTACTACATTGCACCTTGATCATCTTACAAAATATCAAGTTAACAGGCAAATAGATCAAAGTCGCAAGCGAGGCATTCTAGAGTCCGACCTTCTCCTCTCGACTTTTGCATCCCGGCATCTCCCAACCATGACAGAACGACAACTGCAGGAATATGACAAGTTTCTCGACGAGAATGACTGGGATATCTACTACTGGGCAACTCAAGAGGCGAAAGACCCGTCAATGACAGATAGTGCTAATTCGTCTCCTGCACCAAATTCATCCGCAAAGCCAGTGAAGGATACGCCGACGGAAACGTGGAAGAGCGGGGCTGCAAAGAGTGGGGAATGGGCGCAGACTGTAGGTGCTTTTAAACCTGCATATAGACCTGTCCCGCAGCGGTGGAAAGACTCTGAGATCCTGGCTCAGTTGAGGCAGCATGTGTACGAGAAGAGTGCGCATGGGGTACAAGAGGTGAAGGGACAGACCCACAGCGGAGGAGGCTTAGGACAGATGCCTGACCTGTATAAAAGCAGCCCATGATATTTGGAGTGTTGTAGTTATAGTCATTATCATTTGCTCCGATTTTAGAATAGATGTGTGAATATATACTAACTCCCGTTCATCTCAACTTGTATGTTTACAGAGTATTGAATACTATTGAATCCATTGTATCTCTCATAAATTAAAATCCACGTGACTTTTACTCGCTTAGGCCAGCTAGGGTTCCTGCGCACGCACAAAAGGCCCGCAACCAAATTGCGCTTAGGGCTCGCCTGGGCGGCGGAACCTCGCTCCATCGCTAAGAGAGAGACGAAGAAGAACCAAACAGCTCCACGACATTGCCTTGCTCGCCATCCATCCTCCTCCTTCCAACCCCCCCACGAGGATTCCCTGATTTCTCACACTTCCATCGAGAGCCTGCATACTATGGCTGAGCAGCTTGTCCACCGTGGGACCCTCGAAGGCCACAATGGCTGGGTCACCTCCCTGGCCACTTCGCTTGAGAAGTAAGCTACAACCAATTGGATTTTCGTTTATATCTCGATGAAGCTTAAAAAATGAACACAGTGGAATTCTGACTGGTTGAATCATTATATTAGCCCGGATATGCTCCTGTCCGCCAGTCGCGATAAGACCCTGATCATCTGGAACTTGACCCGTGATGACACCGCATACGGATACCCCAAGCGGAGCCTCCACGGCCATTCTCATATTGTCTCTGACTGTGTATGATAAAAATGCCATTCCAGAAGCTGAAATAATCAAAAGGAGTTGTCAAGAAGAGTTACCTGAGGAATAATGTTGGCTGATTCTTATGCATTTTTATGCTCTCCTCGAAAAATAGGTAATTTCGTCCGACGGTGCCTATGCCCTTTCTTCCTCCTGGGATAAAACCCTTCGCCTCTGGGAACTGGCCACTGGTAACACCACCAGAACCTTTGTTGGCCACACCAATGATGTTTTGTCCGTCTCCTTCTCTGCCGACAACCGCCAGATTGTATCCGGATCCCGCGACCGAACCATCAAACTGTGGAACACTTTGGGTGACTGCAAGTTCACCATCACCGACAAGGGACATACCGAATGGGTCTCCTGTGTTCGCTTCAGCCCCAACCCCCAGAACCCCGTCATCGTCTCTGCTGGCTGGGACAAACTCGTCAAGGTACGAAATCATATATCGCTCCATTGCAGTCCCCAATTGCATATATGATTTATTATATATGTCCAATGATGTTTTGCTTTTACGTATTTGCTACTTCAGAGCCCTTAACAAGGCCATGAGACAAACTTCACCAAATGCCCTGATGGACAACCTTTTATAATTTTTCATACTTTGAAAATAAGGCGCACAAGATCACCATTTTCCAAGTGTATTTCTTTTTTGACTAATATCACCAAACGTAAAAGGTCTGGGAACTTTCATCCTGCCGCATCCAAACCGACCACATCGGCCACACTGGCTACATCAACACCGTCACCATCTCCCCTGATGGATCCCTCTGCGCGTCTGGTGGTAAGGATGGCACTACCATGCTCTGGGATCTCAACGAGTCCAAACACCTCTACTCTCTCCAAGCCGGCGACGAGATCCACGCCCTCGTTTTCTCCCCTAACCGCTACTGGCTCTGCGCTGCCACCTCTAGCAGCATTACCATTTTCGATCTGGAGAAGAAGAGCAAGGTTGACGAACTTAAGCCTGAATTTGTAGAAAAGGGAAAGAAGAGCCGTGAACCTGAGTGCATAAGCTTGGCGTGGAGCGCTGACGGCCAGACTCTGTTTGCTGGATACACTGATAATAAGATCCGAGCCTGGGGCGTTATGTCGAGGACGTAGGAGGGATGCATATGTGTGTGTATATCCGTTACGTGTAATATGTTTGTCTCTGTGCCGGAAGCAAATAGAAAACGCGGCTGCTGTGGAAGTTACCAGCTAGCTGGCTGGGTTGCGATGGATGAGCAATGAGCAAATGACAAAATCTACCTACCCCTTTTTTCACTACCTCTCTCTTTACTTTTTCTTTCTCTTTCTTTCTCTCTTCAGTGGACTGGAACGGGAGTTTTTGCCTTTTTTTTGATAGAGTTGACTTGCTTTTTCCCTTTAATCGAGCTAGAAGGAAAGAGGACAAAAGAGAGAAAGCTCCGATCTATCAAAAAAACAAATCCTTCTGCACAGAGGCAGAAATTTTTCGTCCAACTCACAAATTTCATACCATGCCCTTGCCAATCTAAGAGAAGGGAAATGTGAAAGGCAGAGCCTCGAAAATGGAAATCGGAAAAGGAAAAAAGAAACCATTATTTTTTCTCTCTTAATTCTAAATTTTGGTTGACATACGCTTCTTTCTATATTTCCCCCAGACCCTGCCTCGCCCATCCATCCGTCATCGCACATAAAGGAACGAACCCAAATCAGTTAATTATTGTCATGTTCACACAGAAGGCTACAAACAGCCGTTCCCAATATTTCCCGGCCACTTCCCCCTGATTCTGCCTTTTGACCCCTGCTGAATCCCACTGAAAGCCACATTGAACCCACGACGAAAAGGTCCCATCGCAGAGGCGTCATGCATATATCTCATGCTGTGCAGTTTCTATCCTGGAATGGGTGATTCTTATGAGCTTTCAACGACGTTCGCAAATTAGAACATATCCTCCTAGTGTTGCAGGTGCATTGGCACGTAGATTGCTTGTTCACACATATCTGGCTCAGTTGGAACGGCATTGGGAACGCAATTCCCGCATGAAGTCGCTGCGTTTGGAAGAGCATCGAAAAGGGAAATCCTTTTTGCGGCCATGTTGTTTAGCGATGTATATTTATTTAGTTGGTTCTGTTGTGACGAGGATACGCAGTTCTCACTCTTTCAGGAGAGCTGTAGCATCAGACGTGGAAGCCCAGCAGAGGCTATGTTAGTTTCCTCTCACTACAATGCAAATCCAATTCTACACCATTCAATGGCAGAGAGAACCTTCGCCTGAATAAAAACGTGAGACGAAATTTTAGGTTATGGCACGTTCTTGAATCACTTATTTTGAACTTCCTTTTTCAGTGTATTTTTCTTTATTGCTTTGCTTCATAAAAGGTGCGTCAGTCTATATGTTCTGCCTTCCAAGTATGTCAGTTCTGATGATTGCTAGCGGAATGGTCCTCTTGGGCGTTGAGGGTTATTCATTTTCACAAACTGGATGAAATCAATCCCTCAGGTCCATCCATCTAGCTCAACGGCATGACTCTACAATTTCAATGAGAAGACCTCGCCTCTTTCTCTCCATTGTAAAAGTCAATTCTAGCACTAGCAAGGTATCATACTGGTTCATTCAGGTGTATAAATATATAGTACTATTTCCAAGTCAGCAATCCTCTATATGAATAGCCAGCCCTATTTTTTGTTATTAAGCCTCTTTATAGCGTCATTTGCTACCTTGACTCCTTCTTCAAATTGTAACTGAGTGGCCAATTCTCTGGCCTGTTCATAGTAATCCCGTGCCTCTGCGAATTGCTTCTGCATGTGCGCTATTTCACCCAAATTATATAGCGCAGCTTGGCACGACTGATCGCACTGCTCATCCCGGACTGGCGGTTTGATATGTGTTGCAACATCTAAAGCTTTTTTTGCCCACTGTGCTGCCGCATCGAGGAGCGCTGGTTTAAATATCAAAGGACCATCTGTTCTGGATATCGATCCTGGCTTTCCCGTGCCCTTGAGG